TGGTCTGTTATGCAATGAAACATAACTTGTCACACATGACTGTTTTTGAAAGCCTGTTTATTGGGACATAGGGTGTGAATGTCTCTTTTGTCAAATAAGAATCCAAACAGCTCTGATGGTTGCAGGGATCATGAACACAAATTATAACTGAAGATGAGCAGCGTTTCCTGGCCATTGGCCTTGTACAGTAATGGTACCGGCTTCCTGCCACAGTAGGACCTTGCCTATCTATGAGGGACTCCAGAGAGACCCAGGACTGGGAGGAAGGTGCCCAGTAATTAACAGGATGTTTGAAGCTCTCTGAGAATCTACTTAAATCTGAAGTTCCATGACTTTGTGGAAAGTGAACACTCACTTTCTGCATGTTGCGTCCACTGATCTGAAGACCGCATGCTTGGTGTCAGTAGGTAAGAAACAGGTAAGAGATGAGGGTACAAACAACCTATAAACACAACACAAATAATGATAGACTTCTTACCATCAGGTTACAGCAATGGATCAAAAGCAAGATTTAGAGCCCAAGGGATTTAGCTCAGTGGCACTGCAACTGCCCCGCAAGCACAAAATGTTGAGTTTGATTCCCAGTACCAGAAAAGAAAAAAAAAAAAAAGATTTAGAGCCCCCCACCCAAGTGTAGAAACCACCCAAATATCCCTCGATGCACAAATGGCTATGAAAAAATATGGAGTCTACCCATGCACCGGGCTATTATTCCTCTCTTGAAAAGAAGTAAATGGAGACATTCTGAATCAACAACAGACCCTGGAGACATTGCACTCACTGAAGTGATATACATGAAGACAAACACAGTCTGAGTCCACAGGACTGCGAGGCACATGAGAAGCCCAAAGCCATCCATGCATAGGGACACAAAGGAGAATGGTGGTCACCAGGAGCTGCAAGAGGGGACGTGAGAGTCATTGTTTCATGGGGGCAGAGTCTGCTCGGGATGATGGAAAACTCCAGAGATGGGGTGGTGGCAGCAGTTGCACAACATGGCAAACATATAGTGGTGTGCCACTTATGACATCTAAGCTGACCAACTAGGGACCACTTATACAAGTGGCTCTAGAAGGTGATGTCATGCAGTGATAGCATAGCCCTATCACTGCATAGGCTCACTCCATGATGTGAGCACAATGACCAAATCAACTTATTACAGACAGCTAAATTAGATAGAAATTAGCAAGCAGTCGAGAGCATTAGTGCAGATGCTCTCAAAGGCATCAGTGCAGAAATGAGACACATCAAAATTGTGGCTGGAGACGAACCGGGAGAGCCAGGTTTGCAAGCCTCCCTATAGACAGCAGCTTGACATCGTACTGTAACCAGCGCAACTTGGTCCAGTAAGCCTAGAGAAGGTGTCAGATGTGAGAGAAGCTGTCAGGTGGGTAACCAGAACGTCCTGACCCAGACTCCTATCCCTTCCCCAAACTGCCTTTGGCCTTTCTATGTTAGAAATTATAGATAAGCTGAAGTCAGTGATGCCCACCATATGCACTTAATATGTGCCTTACTTCCTTTATTGGGTCAACACCAACAAATTATTATATTACACTTGTAACCTCACAGGTCAGCCTCAGCTTTTCCCAGAGTGGTCTGAGATGTGGTCATTTTCATGTATAAAAACCCCATTCAAAGAGCCTGGGTGGCAACCCACTTTCAGGACCCCTCTTATCTCAGGAGCTTTATCTCAGTAAACTTTTCTTACTCTTAACCTCTTCTGTACTCGACTCGTATCCTTTCTTTGTTTATTGAGAGACAGGGACTTGGCACATCTGATATAGAATAGGTTGTGAGTCACTTTGCCATGACAAACTGACATCTTTTTCAGAACATGTCCCTATCGTGAAGGGTGCATGTCTGTCCTTAATGCCACTCAGCTCTATACTTTACAATGGTCCAAACCAACTAGGCATTATAATCCCAGACCTCAGGAGGCTAGGGCAGGAGAATCACCACAAGTTTGAGGCAAGCCTGGGCTAAACAGCGGATTCAAGGCTGACCTGAACTATATAGCAAGACCCTATTTCAAAACAAATGAACCAAACTGGCACAAATCAATTGGGAGTGGTGGGATAGGCCTGTAATCCCATGGCAGGAGAGTGAGGGAGGAAGCAGAGGCTTTAGAAGGTGACCCTCTTTCTGCATCACATTCCCATCTTGTTGCACCTCCACATAAAAGATCATATTCTGTCTTGAAGTAGAGAGTTTTCCACGTAGTCTTTTCTAACGTGATATTTCATACAGATGGAACCAAAGTGTTTGCGAAATTTCTAGGCCAATGATGATATAGGTGCTCCAGCACTTGGTATATGGGCTACAGATTGCTAATGGGAATTTTGGGGCTGACTTTAGGTAATCCATAGACTCCTCAGAATTGTAGATACCAGTGGAAGTGAGAGCAGATGTGTCCAGATATTCTTAATTTTACCTCAAGAAGTCTTGGACTCAAAGGAGCCTGAGGGGAAAGTATGTGTGTACCTAGTGAAGATTTCTGAACATAGGAAGGACCAGTGGGCACTGAGGAGTAGAGCTTTACCAGGCTGAATGTCTTGGTTGAAACTCTCCACGCAGAAAAGTCAAGGCCCCTGTCATCTTTTGTCCATATTCGTGCTCATGAGGTCCTATCATTTCTGACATCCTAAATAACCTGCAGCTATTCTCTGAGGAGGGAAAGACAAAAGATAGGAGGACCTCACATGTTTGGTGTATGGCTTGTGAGTAGATGTCCCCTCAAAGCCTCATGCTCATAGGTGGGGTTTTTTTTCAGAGGTGGCTGGAACTAGAGTATGTGACATTGGGAATGATTCATGGTGTAATACTAGGCTCAAGGGCACTAGGATTAAGGGTGTGAGTGCTACCCACCCTAAGTAGCCTGAAAAAGATGTGGGATAGAAAAAACTGTGGTTGTACCTTGTTGCTTCTGCTGTCTTCTGCATGCAATGAACTCTTTCTCCTTTGTGGTGTCCCTCTGCCATGTGCCATCCTGCTTGGAGCCAGCCAACTGTGGACTAGAACCTCTACAAACTGTGAACTTTAATAAACCTTTCCCCTTTAACTTTGGGTGTTGGGTATTTTGTCTCTGCAGTGAGAAAAGTTAACTAAGACAGAATTTGATGTCAAGAACGGGTTTGTTGCTGTTACCATACTTGACCATGGTTCAGGAGTCTTTGGGACTGGCTTGTGGGAAGAATTTGGAAAGGTTCAGAGATTCCAGCTGAAAAAGTAGAGTTGGAATGCCTTAGGCTGTATTTGATGGGAGATTCTGGTCAAAGGTTAGAAGACCAGAATGCTGATAGAAATTCTGCTGGTAGAGATCAGGCTTGGGAGATTTCTGCTGGGAAGTAGGACTGCATTGGCTGTTGGACTTCAGTCAATGTGTTATACCTTGGCAGAAAGTTTGTCTGCATTTTGCTCATGTCCAGAGACTTTACCTGAGACTGAGAGATTAAGGGTGGCAGACTAATTAATCTTGCAGAAGAAATTTCAAGACAGTCTAATGTTGAGGCAGTGGCATGGCTACTGTTGGGGGTGTTTAGCCAGATTTACATTGAGAATCAAGAGCAAAGAACCCAGCAGAATGATTCAAAATGTTGTGAGTGCGGCCAGAAATGAAGCTCCAGTAAAGGTGTGGCCTGGAAAGATGGAATAAAAGAGAAATTGGTCACTGAAAAGACTAGCAAGAAAAAGCCAAGTATTTTAGAAGAAGACTACAGAACAGATGGCCTGAGGGTATCACAAGAACCAGCAGAACTCCAGCAGTTGCAGCTTTAGAGTTGCAAAGGTGAAAGATTTTTCTTTGAGAAGAGAGCCCCTGAGCACTATGTTCCAGAATGGCAACAGCCTAGAGAATTTGTTCCTCATGATTGGCTTCGGAGTGCTTAACAATCCAGGCATTGGACCCCTACAGCCAAGAGAGAAGAAAGCTTGAGTACTGCTCCAGTTGGCAGCAGACCCTGGTGTCATCCACATGATGCTGGTGTTAGGCATATGTAGAATGGCAAGAGTTGTGGGGCCAGGAAGACTTCCACTCAGATTTCAGAAGAAGGCATAGGAGGCCAGGCAGTGTGCCCCTGACAGGGGAGTGTGTGAAGCTGAAGGTGCAGTGAATGAATACCCTAGAAGTTAGGAGAAGGTAGGAGTGTGGGTTGTCTGAGGAAAACCACAAGGAGGTGCAGAGCTGGCCCTAGAGAGAAGCCATGGGAGTTGTAACCACTGGAAGTGCTATAGGGGTAGAGCCTTTGTGGGGGTGAGGGGCAGAATGTTATGCCTGTGTATAGATGTCCTCCCAAAGCTTCATGCAGTCTTAGGGGCTTGATCTAGAGAATGTAACACTGGGATTGGTTCATGGTGCAATGCTAAATTCAAATGCACTAGGATTAAGGGTGTGAGTGCTACCTGCCCTAAGTAGCCTGGATAAGATATAAGAGAAACAGCTGTGATCCTCCCTTGTTGCTTTTTCTATCTTCTACATGCAATGAACTGTTTCTCCTCTGCAGTGCCCTTCTGCCTCTACAAACTGTGAACTAAATAAACCTTTCCCACCTTTAACTTTGGGTGTTGAGTATTTGGTCTCAACAACAAGAAAAGTAACTAAGACACTTGGAGTTGACAGTGAAGACAATATAGCATTGTCTGAAGAGCAGAGACAGAGGAACCTAAAGGCCCCGAAGGGACTTTCCCATGAAGAACAGTTTGGGTCTATGGTAGGAGATGCCATGGACCTCATATATTCTAGTGTTTTCCTTCTAACTGGTTACCAGGTTGGAATGCACGATGACCTCACAGGCTTCTGGCTTCCTTGATTGGAAGGTTCAAAGCCTATGGAGGTTGGCAGCCCAGCGGGCAACAGCTGCTTCTCAGAACTATTCTCCACTGGTGATTTGTGTCTTGACTGGAGAAGAGACAGTGGCTTGGGTTTGACTGAATTACAGAGGGAGGGTGTGGACAGATCAGAGTCTGTTTTGTGAAGGGGACAACGGTGTTTGGGAGAACTCATGGCCACCAGTCAACCATCCTCCCCGTGTGAGGACCAGAGTTCCCAGTCTGTCTCTCCTGCAGGTGGTGATGATGGATACGCCCTGCAGGTGGTGATGGTGGATGATGAGATCCCAGGACAATCAGGTGAGGAAGCTGGAGAGAGAAGAGGTCCGAGAAGCTGACCAGTAAGGGCTACAGAACAGGGAAGGAGGGACTCAGGAAGGTCAAGAAGGGAGAAAGGAAAGACAGGAGGTGGAACAAAGATGGTCAATGGATGGAAAACCTGCAGAGCCAGAAAGGGGCCAGGAGATGAGATCCAAGAATGGATAGGGAAAGAAGTGACGCAAGCAGAGTTTCTTCACCCAGTGACGAAAAGTGTCTACATGAGGCAGTTTGTAGACACAGGGTGAGGGGACAGTGGCAAGAAGAACTGGGGACAGATGGAGATCAGCAAATGTTAAGGATGGAACAGTGGTTTTAGGGGGGACAACAGTGGATGAAGTGCAAGGTTTATTTGGAAGGTCAGAGTTGGGATTGAGATGGTCAAAGTCTGAATTCCAAAGACAGAAGCTTCACACTTGACCTGGATTTCTTTCTCAGGCCCGTGGGTAGCACCCAGCCTCCTGCCTCAGGCCTGTGTTCAGAAGAGGAAGAAAGATTGGTCCTCAGAGTCAGAAGAGGAGCTGCAGGACAATCTGCTGGGTCTCGCTGATGGAGTCCCTGGGTTAGCACCCTTACTGCCTCTGTCCCATTCCCAGAAGAAGCACAAGGTATCAGAGGCAGAGCAGGAGAGGAATCATCAACAGGGTGCTTCTGACTCATCCCTGAGGGGCAACCCCAGCCTCTTACCTAGGTCTTCTGGCCACCAGTGGAAGAGGGAGTGGTTACTCCATCCTAAGGAGGACAAGGAGGGGAGAGTACCCAGGTGCTTTGATTTAGCCCCAAGGGAAGAAATCAGGCTCCCACCTCGAAAGAGATGGAGAGAGTATCTCTCCATGCTCCAAGAGGCATCACAGGAAACATCAGGGCAGTGGAGCCCTGTGCCTTCCACACACATGGGTGTCGTGGAGAAGCCTCATGGCCTCAAGAGGAAGATGAAAAGGAAGCACATGTCCTCAGTGCTGCCTGAGCACCACGAAGCCTTCACCAGGCTGATTGGTAAGGAGACTGCCTCCCACCCCATTCTTAAGGAACACAAGAGACTTCTGATCACTTTCTTTGCCCATTTAAGGGACCCCACTGTGTGAGTCCTGAGCTCACCATTCCTGGAAGGGTCCAGTGCAAGCCCTCCCCAGGGACATGCAGAAGACAGAGCTGATGTAGTCCTTAAAACTTGCTCCCGCTTGGGGTCACAAACCTTGGTTCCAATCAGCCCCTCTGACATACAGCAGTTGCTGACTTGCCCAAAAAGAAATGGTAGCAGCACTTCACGGGCAACAGGGTCATGGCCACACTAGGACTCAGATGCCTTCTGACTTCTCAGGTGACACTCCTGTGTCATGAGAGGCCAACTACACAGGCCCCCACTCAGTTGCTCCTCTGGAAGTCTCAGGGCTGAGCGCCTGTTCCCTGCCTGGTGAATGTAGTTCTTCCACCTTTTCCTGGCCCCATCTAGAACCTTTTCCCTGGCAGATGCAGTTTTGCCCCCTCTTTTCTTGCTCCCAGGGACACCTTTGCCAGGTCACAACCTAACAGTGAGCTCTCTCCACAGAAGATCCAGTCATCATGGGATTCTTGGCTTGGGACAAGAATCTGAGGGCCTCTGACAAGGTGAGGTCCTACTCCCAAGCTGGGCTCTTGATGTGGCACAGCCCAAGGAGGGCAGGGTACCAACCCTACAGTCCTTCCTTAGTCTCTACTGGGAGCTCCCACCTCACCTCCAACCCTTCCGTCCCCTTAGGACTGGCATCTCCTTTCTGGGCCTGGCTGACCCTGGCAGGCTGGCTGGGTGTATACCTTGTCTGGCGTGGGTCCTCTGTGAACTGAGCTTAGACCATAGAGTCCACTGACTCCAGGGTCTCCCTGGATATGGCTTCTCTGACTGGGACTGCTCGAAGCTCCTGGTCCCTCCTCTTAGCTCGCAGGGAACCCATTTGCTCTAACTTAGAAGACCCCCTTCTGATCCCATCACCTACTCTGAGAGACCCTTGGAAGAGCCACCCTGGGCATTGTGGCCTCCCTTCTGCTGACTGCTCTCATTTGCAAAAAATCTCCAGTCCCTGACTTTCCCCGAATAACCAGACCACCCAACAGTGGGTCTCTGATGGAGGCCGTGTTGCCCCCTCCCAGGTGGTGTCCCACACCTCTCCTCCTCTAGGTGTGCCTATTCTCTGAGTGTCCTCCTCTCTCCCCAAAGAACCTCCTGGCCATGGTCATCGCCTACTTCAGCCGGGCCGGCCTCTTCTCCTGGCAGTACCAGAGGGTCCACTTCTTCCTGGCACTGTGAGTACTGCCACTCTCCACCCAGGCCACTGTCAGCCCCTGAGGGTGGGGAGTGGGACTCCAACCTGTCCTCTGGTTTAAACTTCTCCATAGCTGACACTGTCCACCCTCATGTTGGTTAAAGAATGCCACCAAGGGGACAGAGCACCTAGACAGGGGAGGTGGTAACCCAGACATGGTCTGAGGGGCAGCCATTTCTGACCCCTGGAGGGTCTCCTTCCTTAGCAATACCAGGTGTCTTTCTGTCCTCTCCTCTGGGTGTCCAAGGCCCATGCCCCATGCGTGCCCTCCTTACAGGCACAGACTGAGTGTAACATGCTCTCTGCTGGTTGTTCTGACAAGTCTCTCCACAAACCAGGGCACAGGCTCTGTGTTGCCTGATCAGCCTTCAAAAATGAGGCTCATTTGCCTTGTGGCTACTGAATCACTAATTATTTAATCTTCACTGAAGCTAGAAATCTACCCTTGAACTTACCTGCTCTATAATCCGTCTATAACCCAGTCTGCTCATCACCTTGATATTTCCTTTATTTTTTACTTATGTACTTATTTATTTATATTGGTTTTTTGAGACAGGGTCTCACTATGCACTTGAGACTGACCTGGAACTCACTATGTGGCCCAGGCTGGTCTTGAACTCACAGTGATCCTCCTGCCTCAGCCTCCTAAGCGCTGGGATTACAGGCATGCACCACCACACTCGGCGATCTTTCCTTTATTTTATTCTTCCAAATACCCTTCCCTCTTGTATTTATCTCCTGTTTTCTGTCCACATCTTCACACACTGAACCTGAATGAAGTATGTATCTTCAAGTTGGCCAAAACATGCAAACCCCCATGGCCATGGTGGTGTACACTTGTATTTCTAGCCACTCACGATGCTGTGGGGGAGGACTGAGTCCAAAGGTGAACCTCAGGTGTTCAAGGTCAAAGGCAACTGTAATCACACTGGGAGACTGAGGTAGGAGAATGGAAGTCTGAGCCAGGTCTGGGCAACTTAGTAATATAAGACCATGTTTCCAAAAGAGAAATTTAAAAATAGCAGTGGGAATATAGATCACAAACTCTGGGTTCAGTTTTCGTACTGCAAACAAAATAAACTCCAAACTATGTACATCCTTCCCTGATCTCTCACCTTCTACATTCCAATAGCACTGTCCTCAAGTCCCTCATGACAGGACATTTTGGACTCTAATTCCTTGTCTCCCCTCTTTACCTAAAATCCCCTTTGGGGAGACAACTGCTGAAGGCTGGGTCTTACATTGTTAAAACAGTCAGCTCAATCCCTCACATTCGTTGAGTGGTTTCTGTTACAGCAGTGAGCTCACCAGGGACTCTGCATGGCCTTTATCTACAGATGAAGCTGCATTTATTCCTTCATTCATTCCTTCAATAAAACCTGCAGAAGGGACATGTAGGGCTCGCTGGTGGAATCCATGCACGCCCTGAACCAGGGCCTATGCTGGCCACTGGGGAGACAAGGGCAGGACACAAATACACCAAGGTCACCCTGTCCAGGTGCTCTCCTAGTGGCCAGAGACTGGTGTGTGCTCAGAGGACAAGCTGCAGGGAAAGGAGAGGATGGAGGCAGGGAGAGGGAGGTGCCAACTTCATCTGGTGTCAGGGGCCAGAGGCCACCTCAGACTCTACACAGGGGTCCTGTCTTCATCCCCTATGTGGGAGCTGTCTTTAGAAGGGCCCAGTGCAGCCTTGGCCTCTCCACGAAGGCCTGGTCTTGGAGAGCACTGGGCCGGGCTGATGGAATTCTGAGTTGGAGGGGGCCCAGCTCCTTCCTGGCTGTGCCCCTGACCAGCAACATGCTTTCCTCCCCAGCTACTTGGCCAGTGACATGGAGGAGGACAACCGGTTTCCTAAACTGCACATGTTCTTCTTCCTCTATGGAACGAATTTTGACAAGATTCCCCGGTTCCACAAGCTGCGCCACCAGTTCATCCACTGCATGGACTGGAACCTCAGGGTGACCCGAGAGGAGTGTGAAGAGGTGGGTGAGAGGGGGCTGGCAAAGACTGGCTGGACTAGGACAGATGGGGACAGGGGAGTCTGGGCACGTGACCAGGGATGAAGAGGTGGGTGAGAGTGGGCTGGCAAAGACTGGCTGGACTAGGACAGATGGGGACAGGGGAGTCTGGGCACGGGTGACCAGGGAGGAGAGGCGGGGCTGGACGAGGGGATGGTGTTACTGTGGGTCTTCATTCACTCAGGGGCTGCTTTCCTCTGCAGATCCAAGCTTACGATCCTACACTCTGGGTGTGGGGCCGAGATCGCACCCTCACTCTGGGACCCTGAAGCCCTGAGGATGTTGGCCTCAAAAAGGTGCATGTGTGTCCTGGGCTTCAGACAACACCACCGCTATCTATCTAGGGGATTCAGGGAGCCCACGTGAGCCCTCCTCCCGCTCTATCCACCGTCTACACATCAGGGACTGGCCAGGCCCAGGCCCAGGCCTGAGGTTGATCTCTCCCTGTCCCCTTCAGAGCCACCAACTAGCAGGACAGACACACGCAACCTCAGAGAGATGTCCTGGTACCTGGGACACTGCTCAGATAGACTGTACAAAAAAAAACATTGCCTCAGAGGCAGATTCAGTAGATTATTTCAGAGCAATTGGGTCCAAATGACACTGCAGATTAAATGCTGAGTCCTGTCTCCAGTGAATACCCACTAGGCATAAATTTCCATTTCTCCCTAAAAGTCGTGTTTCTACTGCTTGTCAAGATTTAGTTACAACAAAGTGAATGTGGAACAAGGCAGTATCAGATGGAACAGGCTGCATATTTGGAAATGAAAGAATTATTGCTACGTGTTCATCCTAGTTCACATCCACAACGCATATGGCCAAAGCCCACCTGGTAGATCTTCCTGTCTCCTGTGCCACTGCTTCTGGAGGAATTTCTCCTCTTGAGTAATTAATTACCCATCTTCAAATTCAGGGTCACGGGTGTTTGTCAGTATGATGGCAGATTTACAATATGAGCTCCAGGGTGGCACCTTGCCATTGACACATTACTGAATGGGTTTGCACAGAGAAGGAGGCAAAAATTTAAGTTGTCTGCAATCAACCAAATTTAGGCACAAGTGTGTTAGATGGGATTAGCGATTAAGTATGTGGTCTCATCGTCATGATGTTGACAAATTTATTAGTTATGTTTGTAGTATGGTAACAAGTACAGATGTGAAGTAAAGAAAAAAAATGTAAGGGCATACAATACACTTTGTCTCCTCCCAAGGTACTCTAGTCTTCAAGCACAATCACCTTAAGTCCTTCTTATAAAGCAGGAAGCTGGGTCTAACCTAAAGCATCCCAAGTGAGTTTTGGAATGGGGTGCAAAAAATCTGTGAACCAGAACTGGAAATGAGGGCTCAGGATTGTGGTTAAGAATAAAGGGTTAGAGATAAAGTTGGATTTGTAAATCGACTGAAATTGTAGTTGAGAGTGACTTACTGTGCCAATCTTCTCATCTAGAAAAATGACCCCATGAAGTCTAATATGGTCTCTTTCCCCACCTTCCAGATCTCTGGACCTGGGGAAGATGAGCTATTTTAGCACAAAGACCATGCTGACATTAATCACAGCCCAGGGATGGATTAGAGAAGCCTCTTGTTCAGATAACCTAGAAGAATCCAGACTCTCCCAAATGAAGCCGAAATATTCAGCACATCTACTTCCTCCTGGAGCTGGGAGTCCATGGAGGGACAATGAGCAACCAGAATTTTGAGGGTCACCTTCTACATTTTACATTCCTAATTCAAATTGCCATTGAGGTGGAAGTTGGAGATCTGGTTGTCTTAATTATTTTTTATTGCTTGGACCAAATATTTGACACACACAGGTTAAAAGAGGAAAGGTTTATTTTGGCTCACGGTTTGCAGAAGTTTCACTCTATTGTCAGCTGGCTCCAAGGCAGGGTACCGTGACAGAGAGGCACTGTAGGGGGGAACTAGTCCATAGCAAAGTGGGCAGGAAGCGGCAGCAGGAACAGCAAACCTAGCTTCTTCCGGTTCTTTTATTTTCCATCTAGGCTACACGCCTATTGATTAGTGCCACCCACACCCAGAACAGCTCTAAACCAATCAATAGACAAACCCAATTATCACACCTCTAATCCACATTCACACACCCTAGATCCAGGCATCTCTGAAAAGCTCTAAGTGCGTGTAACTTTGGAGGGACACCCAGATAGAAGCCATAACAATGGCTTTTGATATATTTGGTCTCCACAGTCTTGAGATCAATTGATGGAGGCCAACCGATGTAGAGGGTCAGGTTGGAATGGAATTAATTTTAAAGCTTAATGTGAAGGTCATAGCAGGGTCATAGTTTGCTTTAATACACAGTATAAATTTTATTGGTTCATTTTGAATATGTTTGGCATAGAAGTATTATTATATTTTAAGTAATTCTATGACATGATAGATGTTTATATCTATCTTATAGCACTGTTTTTATAATGCTCAGTGGAGGATATTACAAGAGATAGATACATATTTTCTTTTTTAAGAGTTTTTTTGTCTTTTTATCTATTGTACTTATAGACTCATTATTTATAGCTAGGTGTTGCTACCCACCAACTCTTATAAATAGAAATAGTGGATGTCTGTTCTTCATTATTGTTGAGAACGCTTGAGCTGTAGCTCCAATTCAGCTTGACTGGTGTATCTGATATGGGACCGAGGACAGGGCCATGCATCTCTCAGGAAAATAAAATGAAGACAAACTGTCTTGTTACCTTCTTGCATGTCAGTCTGAATCGCTCATTTGCTGTTTAAATGGATTTGCACCCCCTCAGGAGCTGTGGCTACTTGACCACCCTTCTTCACTCTGAAAAAGAATCCTCAGTTATTTTTCACATACTCAAAACAAAACCCCAAAATACAACAAAAGATGGGAAATTATAACATAGACTTAATAGGTAGGAAAGAAGGGGACAATATTGAAATAGAAAAGATAGTAAGACTGGGAGGAAGTAAGTAAATTCTGTGGTGACTGGATAATCACCCTAGATCCCAAATACAGGAAAGGCATCTCAGCAAGGGACACCTGCCTGGGAATTGCCCAGGCAAAGAAGGGGACTCACAAGCAAGGTGGAGCCTTCCCTTTTGCTATTCCAGTCTATATGAGGTGTTTTCTCACAACCTGTAATTCCTACTTTACACAGCAAGAGGAAAAATCTAGAAAAATGTAAACAGCTGGAAAGAAGTAAGGATACAAGATCAATTTCTGAGCAAGGGGAGATGACCAGGAGTGAAAACTATGAAATAGGTGACGGCACAGGGGTGGAGAGGAAAGGGCTAACTACATGGATGCTGAAGGGCTGCAGAGAAGCACCTTGGGAGATGGGAGCATTTGGGGAGAAGAGGGGCTGGAAGAAACTCCTACGCCAAAGGAAATAAGACTATAAAGCAGGCAGACAGAGAAGATGTAAATAGGGTTAAAGAAGGAAGTGGGATCAAGGTCAAGGGTATGAGAAGGGCTGAAATGTGGACTAAGCTTAAAGTCTGATGAGTGTGTAAAGCAGGGAGACAGGGAAGGAGGCCAAGCAGAGCAAGTGAAGAGATGAAAGTAGAAGCCTTTACAGACACAAAGGTAGAAATCAGGATGTGGTTGTCAGTGCCTCATGAAGCAGTGTGGATGGCTGCATACAGTCCTGTGCCACAGAGGACACCTCAGCCAAGGTACCACATGTGCGACGATGGCTCCATGACATGACATCACCCACTGATGTTCTGGCTCTCACAGACAGGTGAGGAGTTTAGCGTAGGATGTTCGCACAATAACAATTTCAGCAAAGGACCCACTTCTCAGAACACATCCCTGTCATTACTTTCTCATGTCTGGCATCAATGCCAATCAAGCCAACCCTTTAAAAGCGTTGAAAAGAGCTTGGCATAGTGGCCCCATCTGGAATCCTATCATCTGGGAGCACCAGGCAGGCATATTGCAGACTAAGGCAAAGCTCGGTTTGGACAGATCAAAGTCTGTTTTGTGGAGTGAACGGAGGCATCTGTGATAACAAGTGACCATTTGTCAACCTTCTTCCGAGTCTAGGACTAGAGTCCCCAGCCTTGCTCCTCAGGGTGGGTACAGCCTGGAAGTGGAGTGGATGATGAAATTCTAGGACCATCAGCTGAGGGACTGAAGACAGAAGAGGTCCGAAAAGGTGACAAGTAATGAAGGGACACAGAAGGAGAAAGGAGAAAATCGGGAAGCCAGGGATGGGAGTGGGAAAGGATAGGGGTGGGACAATAGTCAATGGATAAAAAACCTGCAGAGCAAGGAGAGGGTTAGAAGATGAGATCCAAGAATGGATAGGGCAGAGGTGACTCAAGCACGGGTCCCCACCTATATGGGGGAAGGCATCTACCAGAGGAAGAGTTTGTAGCAAGGGAAGAGGGGATGACAACAAGGAAAAGTAGGTCAAAACAGATCAGCAAAGGTTAAAGATGGAATAATGCCTAGGGAGGAGACAACAGTGAAAAGGGTTTTGTGTTTTGCAAAGGCAGGGTTGGGCTCAGATGATCAAAAGCTCAATTTCAAAGACAGAGGCTTCACACTCAACCTAGGTTTCATTTCTTCAGCTTATGGATAGCACCCAGCCTGCAGCCTCAGGCCTATGGCCAGAAAAAGACCACAGACTGGTCTTCATTTGCCCAGAGGGAGCAGCAGAAAGAGCTGCCTAATCTTTCAGATCAAGTCCCTCAGTGAGTACCCTACTTCCCGCTTTAGTCCTCTGCTGAGTGGAGGGAGAAGGAAGAAGCAGAAAAGGTGAGAGGGAGGAGGAAGTGCTGGTCCTCACAATCAGAGAAGGAACAGGAAGAGGACCATAGGGGCCAGGGGGGTTGGTCTGACTCAGATCCCAGCCTTCCACATGTCCTCTGGCCAGACGAGAAAGTGGGAATAGTCATTGGCGCTGGAGGAGGACTCACACACACAAGAACATCTGAGTACTTGACTTCTCTATGCCAAGGAACCTGATACAGTGGGAAGGGAGGTCTAGGAAATGCTGTTGAATTCATGTACCCAGTTGGTCACTTGGGAGGAGAGGGATGAATAATCAGAGAAACCCAGGTACCCTCCCCCTGATACTCCTCATGTTGGCGGTGAGTCAGGAGCGTGCAGAGAACATGCTACAGGGACGGAGAGGATGGAGGCAGGAAGACAATTGCCTGGCAGGGACAGGAGTCATCCTCCACTTCTGCACGGGGGTCCTGTCTTCATTCTCTGGTGGGAGGTGCCTTCACAAGGGCTCTGTGTATCCTGTACACTCCATGCTGGTCTGGTCCTCAGGACTGCTGCACAGGGCCCAGCTCCTTCCTCATTGAGCTCCTGACCAGCAAAGTAAGACATACATGTATTCAACCTTATCCACATTGGACATGGATTATTTTCCCCTACAGACAAATTCTCAGAAAATCATTTACAACACAAAGCAACTTGAGCAAACAAACTCATCCACCAATTTTTGAAACTTCTCCAAAATGAATCTACACCCATCTAGAGACATACTGTTCCTCTTTACTTCTGGACTTTGCTGCCATCACCTCCATAAAGAAAAGAGGCTGCAAGTAGGGTGATTATTTGAATACTGTATATTCCCCCAACTTACAAACAAGTCCCGTTCTGGGAGAATTGTTCATTAAGTAAGATTTGTTCATAAGCTGACAAAGTGAGTCCTATACCTGTAAATGTTTGCAACTTGGATGTTTGTAAGTCAGGGACTTACTATAATTACTTCCTCACAAATTACAATAGAAAATCAAGAATCATCAGTTAGTTGAGGAAAATAGCATAAATAAAAGACATCATGATAAGGAACTCAACACTGATAGAATAAAATTCATAAAGAAACATAACTTAAATTTTTTTCTACTAATTCATTTTCATTCTCTCTCTCTCTCTCTCTCTCTCTCTCTCTCTCCTTTCTTTCCTGGGAAACAGTTCTCTCTAAGCTATCCTGGAAGGTCTCAAATTTGCAAGCTGCTGACCTCTGCCTACCAAGGAGCTGGGATACAGGAGATAATCACTCACATTTTTAAATGAATTCAGCAGAATATTGCTTCCATAAAGTGAGATTACTGTGCTGAGAAACAGCCACTGCAGAATCCTGAAAAATTGGACTGGACTGTAGAATTGTCTTTAAAAATCTTCACAAGAACTGACTAACAAGTGGGACAGAGAATATTAACTCAGGAAGTCTCCCAGAAATAGAGATGGAAATAGTGAAAGCAGATTTGGGACACAAAGTCAGATACAACAGATAACATTTTCAGAAACGGACAACATGGAAGATGAATAAAAAATAATCCAATGATTAAAAACTACACTTGAGCACACAAGCTTCCACATCCATAAGGGTCCTCTCATTTAAAAACACAAACACTGAGGAATCAGGTAGAGATCCACAAACTTTCTGATAAAATATCTAAAGTGGAAAAAATAGTCTAAAACATTAAATAGGGAAAAAAGAAAACACTACTCACCCTGGCAACTGACATTAGACTTTCCAATTGATGGAAAACTGCCCACATTTTGAAAGAAAAGAGACTTAGAACCTAAACTGTGTACCAAGACAAGCTCTTTCT